CCCCCCCTTCAAAGGACTCCGCCTCCCTCTCAGGCCCGTAACTCCAAGTACATCGGCTATGGGTGAGCTAACGACCTCGCGGCTCACGTCCGACTAACTCCGCCCCAATAGGACTAACAGCATGCCGGTCACCAGCCTAATTTGCGCCCCGCAGCTGGCCTGACCCCTATTTCGTTCGGTCGACTGAGCACCTCACTGGTCCACAGATAAGCCAATCTTGCAATAGTCGTCACTCCCTAGGCACACACTGCCTGCGCGTGCGCTGCAACTCACTGCGGACTTCACCCCCCCCCCTCACGACCATGGCCGCAATCTGGCCAGATAGACATCTTCTCCCTCGCACCTGGTCAGATGCATGCCTGCACGCTCGTTATCAGTTGCAGTGGAGTAGACTGAATGATTGTGCTTAGATACGAGCTCGCTCACTAACAACCATTCCCCACGTCTTACCACTATGCAGCAAAACTTGGCTCTGATCCAGCCTACTCAATCCTCTCCCCCTTGTTTCACTGTGCAGTCGTGTTTGTCCGTAGCTTCTCATGCTCTGTCACTCATCCAGTGCACATGGTGGGAAACAACCTCCTTCTACAACGTCGTCAGGCACACACACCCCCTTTACAAAAGTCCTTCTGTGCCTCCTTTCCTAGTGTACCTGGCCCGTAATGGTGGATAGTTTCGTTTTCCTTCTCTGCATGGAGAGGCGGGCACTAATCATGCTTACTCGCAGCGGCCCTCTTAGCCAGTACTCCTTCTCGCAAGTAAGTATCGGCCCGGTCAGGCAAGACCGATCTGCCCCTTCTCCCCTTCACGGCCCCCTCTTCGTTAGCTCTAACCATGGAGCAATCGCCTAGTTGCCAGACAAGTTGCGGCCATAGCTCAACCGCCGGCTCCTTGCCGGTTGTCGTGTTCACACAGGTACGTACCCACTCCTCCCCAACCTTTATCCTGTTTTCCTCTTTTGTCCTCTCAGTGCGCAGCACGGCCGGCCTCTTGCTACTTCCACTCGTTAGGATGAGCAAGATCGGAATCAATCTTCCGCTGAAATACGGGCGGATTCATTTCTTTTTATCTTTATTTCCCCCTACTTTTCCCACCCGTGGCTTAGGACCTCTRCACCGCCATTCCCACAGCCTAACTCCAGAATCCGACTCCGCCGTATGGTTCGCCCGTGGCTAAAATCCCGCAATCAACTCTTTGTCTGCCCGATTCGACTAGGAACCGGACAATCTGTGAGTCTGCTCCGCCATATCTCTCTCTTCCGCCCCCTTCGCGCAACTCCTTTTTCTACTACCCTCTATCCTACTAACCCTCAGCCAAATCTAGCTCTACCACTGCGCTCACCAGGCCCTCAACCCCCCAACTCGCATCTTTGATTGCTGAAAACGGTCGAGAAACGACCGCACTATAGCACCTTCACTCTTTACCTCTTTCCCCTCCGCCATCTCCCCGCACTTCATCTCCTTTCCAACTTTTCACCTACTAACGTATTACTAAATCCGACTTGAGAATTAGATTCGCCCGGGTCAAAAACCCCAGCCTACGACTTCCTTTCACTCAATTTCGTTGAGAAATTAGTGAAAATTGAGTGAAACCATCATTTTTTTTTTTCCTGAATGAATCCAGCGTGAAAACGCGCCCAGGTTCATCCGCTTCTACCATCTCTCAACCCGCTCGGCTATTGCCCGTCACCCGCTTCTCTGTGTGCTTGTCGCTGCCCAGCGTTGCCCGGTGCCTATCTCCGAGTCCCTCGTCCCCATGCACTTGCCACAACTCTCCGTCCCAATTCACCCGTTCATCTACACCCCCCCGCTTCCCGACACTCCGCTGAATGCACCCTGACACAATATTGCGCCCGATTCGTCTCACCCACTTCTTCCACCGCCCGCCCCCACTAACTGCGTTCGGCCGTCCACTCAGCGCAGCTCACCGCTCGCCACTCTCCACTCTCTGGCCCTCTCACTCCACTACCGTCCCTTACTCCGCAGGCACCCCGTGCCCATCGCTAGTCTACCTCGCTCGTCCCTGCCTCCGAACGCACCCGGCGCGATAATGCGGCCGAATCCTTCCTTCTCCTTGCAGGCAGTAGCTCCGTCAACACGGCTTCCGACAGCAGCGACCTGTCTCTTATACACATCTAGATGTGTATAAGAGACAGCTATACGGCACTCGACCTGGCGGTGGCAACAATCACTAGCCAGCTTCTGCGGGAACTGGCTACCAGTCGGCCCGATAGGTTTTTCGCCCCTGCACACAACTTGCCGACCGATCCCCACGGCAGCTCCCGCAGTACCGGCTCGAAAAGCACCCCGACTCCACTAGTTACCACCCCCGTCTGCACCCGGCACACCCCCTCGTCCTAGTTCATTCCGGATCTCTGCGCATCGCCCCTGCGCAGYGACCAYGCASATCTTTTCGGTATCGTCCCAATTCCATCGGATGTCCCGAAGGACCTGGCCRCGGTGGTACCCCACCCGCGGCCCCCAAGATTATGYAATCGATTYGYGGTACCGCGCCCCGAGTCAAGACGGGGCCGCGAATAACAATAGAACAATAAATAAGGGGGGGGTAGCAAGGATAGAATCACAAACCTGGGCAACGGGCGGGGMCTGCTAGTACTCCGTCTACCCCGTAGACCGGGCCCATTACCACGCCCGTTAACAAAAACCAAAGGGGGATAGCCCCGTCGGGCCCTCAACCCCTCGGTTTTCTCCATAACGCTCCGCTGCTGCCGCGCCAACGCCCGCTGGCCTCGATCCCTGAACCAACGAGGCAATAGCCCGACACGGTAACCTATAGGGCTAAGCCCAAGCCTGAAACTAATATCCGCGGAGTGCCATATAAGGCGGTACGACGTTGCGCTCAGGGCCAGGGAAATTGGCCTGAGCCTCATCTCAGCCTACAACCGTACGCGCGGCAGCCCGACGTCTGCGCGGACTTACCAAGCTGCACCACGGCCGACGCTCGCGCCACTCCGCTTGCCAAGACCTACCGCAGTCACACTGTCACCTTCATCGCCGCTGTTGAGGTCGCCCTCCATACGCACGCGTAACTCAACTGGACGTACCAACAAAAGACAAATATCCTTAAATCCTAGTCTAATCAAGAATTAAAAAAAATAGAAACGAACCGACTGGTGCCCGCCGGCTTCATGATCAACGATAGGAACGGAATCACGCGCGCCTCAAACCTGCGCGCCCACACACTCTTTGTTCTAGTCAACCATCCGGCCATCGTAACCATACAGATGCAGCCGCGCCTCGCGCGGTATACTTAACCTCAAGCCAAACTCATTTTTCTGTCATTTGCAAAAACCAAGGCGGATACCCCTGTTAGGGTATTCGCGCCGACACCGGGTACGGGTAGGGTACAGTTTTGAATTGTTTTTTCGAAAGTTGATTCGGATTGGGTACGGATGAAGAATGTTTTTGAACCACTAGTACTTGGCCCAGCTATCGATGCCGAGCCTAGAATGGCCCTGCGCGCCAATTTTCGCCGGGGTACCATTTCGATTTTCTTTTGGCCAGCGCTTCCCGCCATTGTGGTCCGGTACCCCGAAGCCCTGAAGGCGTGTCGGCTGATAGCTGGGCCAAGTACTGGTGGTTTAAGAGCAGGTCCGGGTCAGGTTTGGGTGACAGATAATGTTAGGTTCGCGAGCTCTGCCGGGTACCATCCAAGTTTGCAAAATACCCAGCAGTTGGCAACTTTCATAAGGCCCAGTTGAAAAAGGCCATGCCCAAACGGCGAGGTCCAGATTGTTTGCACACCCGCCTGACAGGGGCATAACAGAAAGATTTCGGCCCAAACGGGCATTCGGCTCTACCCACATCTTTCAGGGGCGTTTTGGAATAAATGTCAACGAATGGGGGTATTTTGCAAATTATCCATTAAAATAAGATAAAATAAATAAAATAAAAAATTATCCGTTGTTTATTTCAGTTTTGTTTTTGTTTTTGAGGAAAAAAGACAAAAAACGTGAAGGGGCGCAGAACGACGCCACAGAAACGCCAGCGTGAACCGGTGCCTACGGACGCGAAGACGTCTGCAACACGACGACACGTAGAGTCTCGCTCGACTACTATCGAAGGACGCTCTCAGACAAGACACCTTCAACACGACGACAGACAAAGCCGCCATCACCGCCGCAGCCATCCTGCAGAAGCGCAAACAACAAACAAGCCGCCCCCGCGGTCCCCCCTGAAAACTTCTCATCCAGCGCCCATGGTGCTACAAACTGCAAGCATGCGTCCCGTCGGTGGAGCGTACGCTCTGCTGCCCCCTCCTCCACCCTTGCCTGATCCACGAATCTACGCTCTCAGACAAGACACCTTCAACACGACGACAAACAAAGCCGCCATCACAGCCGCAGCCATCCTGCAGAAGCGCAAACAACAAACAAGCCGCCCCCGTGGTCCCCCCTGAAAACTTCTCACCCAGAGCCCATGGTGCTACAAACTGCAAGCATGCGTCCCGTCGGTGGAGTGTACGCTCTACTGCCCCCTCCTCCACCCTTGCCTGATCCATGAATCACCACTACCTCTGTCGTGCTACGTACATGCAGACCGCTCCCGCTACGCACGCATCCTCCTCTTGACGGTTTTGTCTTTCTTCCCTCTAAACACTCTGTCGTGCTGCCCCCCTCCAGCTCCCCTGCCCTGCCCACGCAGGACAGCTGATTCGGTCTGCCAGTGCGCTACGCACCGCCCGGCCGATCCCATCCACATACCTCCCCGACCCGTTGCGCTCTTAGCACCACCCTCCTCTCCATGTCCGTCCCCTTCCCCCTCCCCCTCCACCTCCCCCTCCCCCTTCCCCTCCCCAGTTCTCTATGGCCATATAGATGTTCGATCCCTCACCTCAAAACCCAGCAATCAGCATTGAGTGGTATGGGAGTGCGTTCTGAGAAGCGAGGCCGCAGTGAGGCTGCAGCGAGGCTGAAGTGCTCTTGGCGCTTCGATCCAGTTCCATCCAGTCAGTCGGCAACGGCAACTGCTTGACCGCCGGACACGCCATACCCGCTCCACCCTTTGCAGAGCTGTTGGCTATGGAGATTTGATGATTCCTGACGAGGTACGATTCGGTCTCGTGGTGCTATGGTTGCCGTTGACATGCAAGTCGGCTCCGATAGCGATCCCGGTCATGACTTCCTCGTCGTCGATGCTAATCTCTCCAGCCGTTCGCGGCATATCTTCTGCACACAACGCCATAAGCGGCGCTCTGGGAGGCGTAGGAGGAGGAGGAGGAGGAGGAGGAGGAGGAGGAGGAGGAGGAGGAGGAGGAGGAGTAGGGGGTCTAGGTGGGGGAGGGGGAGGAAGTGGTTGCGCTGGGTCGGCGACATTGGAGCATGCGGAATCGTCGTTTTGCTACTCAGAAGTGCAAGATAGAAGAGAGATTATGGAAACGGATAGGGATCTGGATAAGGTTGTACGGACTCTCCCGGCAGCAGAGCAGGAGGCGGTTTTCCGGCTGTGGCTGCAGGAGTTCGCTTGCTCGCCGTACGATCGGCCGAATCTGACGAAAGCGTACGAGCTATGGCGATCCAAGGCGCTAGCTGTCGCGGCCTCCTCTGTCGTTGTCAGCGAGGAATCCTCCTCCTCCTCCTCCTCCTCCTCCTCCTCCTCCTCATCGTCGTCGTCGTCTCCCCCATCCCTGTCGCCAGCGTAGAGTCGGACACGTTCGTCTCTCGCTCAGCAAACTATTGTCGCACACTGTCGCGGGGAGAGAGAGAGAGAGAGAGAGAGAGAGAGAGAGAGAGAGAGAGAGAGAGAGAGAGAGAGAGAGA